GCCAAGATGGGCAGGGATGCTGCAAAACCATGCTCTGAAATCAGTTCTATATAAAAGACATCCATTTAATCTGGTACCTGGCATGGAAAAGAACAGAACAAAATGGTATTGTCCACAGATTAAATGAATGGAGATTGCCTATCTCCTAAAACTAGAAGGGACCTTAGAAGGTCATCAAGTCCAGTCCCCTGCCTTCACAGGAGGACCAAATGCCATCCCTGATATATTTTTGCTTCAGATCCCTAGAGTGGTCACTGCAAGAATTGCACTCACAATTCTGGATTTAGCAAACCAACACTCAAACCACTGAGCTATCCCTCTACCCAGCACCTGTTATAAATTTCTGTTTCCTCACCAGAGGTGAGGTAGACCCAGCTCTTGGGACTGTGTCTCCGAACATCTTGGCTAATGGTCCTGGATAAACCTCTCCCCTAGGAATTAATTTAGATCTATTAGAGCCCCATTGCATTCGGGCTTTTATAAAATGCCCTGGCAGTTGGTTTCACAGGTTGATGGAGTGGTGTACAGCACTTCCTCTTGTTTCTTTCAGACTATAGACCTCTTGATTTCCTTGTAAGGTCTCTGGTTCTTCGGTTATGTGAAGGAATAAACAGGACTTCTGTATTCAATTGTTTGAAACCATTCATGTGGTTCTTTCCCTTCTCTGTACTAGTTCCATTTCTGATCTCTCATTTCATATGAGGCAACGAGTCCTACACCCACTATCCATGTCGTGTGATTTAAATAGTGGTATTACTATATTTTCTGTCTTTTTCTCTTTCTCTTTCTTAATGTGATCATACTTTATAAGGAACTCTATACAGGCAGTCCCCGACTTACGCGGATCCGACTTATGTCGGATCCGCACTTACGAATGGGGCTTTCTCGCCCCGGAGCTCGCAGGAAGCGGGACCGCCCAGAGCACAGCGGTCCAGCCACCTTGACCTCCGGGGCGAGAAAAGCTGCTCCGGGTGCCCCTGGTCTGCTGGGGACAGTCTCCAGCAGACCAGGGACACCTGGAGCAAAGCCGGGGAGGCAGAGGGGTCCCGCGCCTCTGAGGCTTTGCTCTGGCAATTCCCCCGCCCCCCAGCAGACCAAGCTTTTGTTGTGGCCCCAGCAGACCAGGCTTTTGTTGTGGACCCTGGGGTAGAGCAGCTGGGGTGCTGCCGGGTTGGTCCTACAGGAACCTACCTGGCAGCCCAGCTGTTCTGTCCCAGGTTCGAGATTCAGCCGCTGTTGAAACTGATCAGTGGCTGATTCCAGGATGCTGGGGGCAGAGCAGTTCTGCCTCCTGCTTCCTGTAGTCAGCCCCTGGTCAGTTTCATCAGCAGCGGCTGAATCTGGAGCCAGTTCCTACTTACATACAAATTCAACTTAAGAACAAACCTATAGTCCCTATCTTGTACGTAACCCGGGGACTGCCTGTAATACATTGAAATAGTGAGCCTGAAATGATGGGCTTGCTTTGAAGATGTGGGATAGCTATTTCAGGAGACTCTGATGTCCCAAAATACCAGCGCACTGTTGACGTATCGTAAGAGTTTATGAAGATGATTTCCTGATAGGCTATCAAGAGTGAAATGATGATAGTAAATTACTTCACTCCTGGGGGAGGCTCTCAAGCTGTAGAGCTCCAGGGACTAATTTCTGCTCACCCCACCCCTCACAGAGCTGAGGGAATTGTCTGTGAATCCAGACCGACCTACCTAGTAGCCAGCAGGGACTGAAGAGGGGAATCATAAATGTAACCGTTCAGCTTGCCGAGAGTCAGACAGGTGAGATTCACACATTAAGTCTTTTATCTCTGCCTTAAGGTTGCAGGAAGGAGATTTGCTCTCTCTGCTCAGCTGAATTCTGGTGAGTTGCCGCTTTCTGCATTAACTCTTAGTCCTAAGCTCTGAGGAAGGATGTCAGGGTGCAAGTCTAGAGTCATCTGGGCAAGAATTCACAAGGAGGGTGACTTGAAGTGCTTACTATTGTCAGAAATACCCAGGGATTTATCCGGCAAAATTGGATCTACACATTTATTTGTCATTAAATCATTTCCTTTTTACTTACTCTGTCCTTCCCTTTGTCTCAGTAGCTTCCTTTTTTGCACAGTATTTTTTTTTTTTTGGTTTGGCGAAGTTTTTGAGTTCAGGAATTTCACAGCACTGTTGGGGTGTGTCTAGACTACATGCCTCCTTCGACGGAGGCATGTAGATTAGCCAGATCGGAAGGGGGAAATGAAGCCGCGATTAAAATAATCGCGGCTTCATTTAAATTTAAATGGCTGCCCCGATCTGCCGATCAGCTGTTTGTCGGCAGATCGGG